TGTGTTTTTCAGTTCCCTCATACTAAGGCTATGCCACTTATGGACATAATTTTCTTTCCTTGCTGGGGTGTGCCACCCTTTGGTGTACACCTACTTTTTCTTGTACAAGCTTCTACACCTCCATTGCCAGTTTCTCTTGAGGGAGAACTATATGACTCGGCTCATATGTAATGGTTAAAAAAAATAAATGTTACTTGGGCCAGCAAGCAGATGCTTTCTCTGACCTCTGATAGGCCTTTCTATCAGTCTTGGTGATAAGTTGTACAATTATCTTGGGCTGCTTTTTATCTTTACACAAGAATGACATAGTAAAAATGCCAAAATATCCACATGCCCTGTTTGCTGGTAAATATATGGAGAAGCTTGAACCTTTTGGGCAGTTGTTGAAGCTACTCAGCAGAATCCATTTCTAGAGAGAAATGTATTTTAAAGTTGTATCCATCTTCATTGTAGTGGGAAGCACAAATCAGTGGCATCTTAAAGAGTCAGTGATTATGTCAGGAGTCTTAAAACTTATTTACATTTGGTATGTACCTGCTGCTTGCTAGGGTGCATGTATATAGTGTAAAACTGTCATGAAACGAAGGCAAATCATCATAAATAACTCATTTTGTACCTGTTTGAGTGCTATTTTCTGCAGAAAATCAATTTCAGAATATGAACCAATATCCACTGAATTTCCCACAATAATAGTATTGATAATAAAAGAGAACTTCATTGAAGAGAAAAGCAAATCAAGAGCATAAAAGTCTCCTACAGTAAGAAACTGCAGAAATGGATCAAAGATTTGACAGGAAGTTTAATGTGTACATAAGTAGAGGCTGACAGGAACATGCTGTGTGTGTCAAAGGTTCCAGTGATGGAAAACTGAAACACAGTGCTCACTGACCACAGCATGAGCCTTGACACACATTGTAAATAACCCAAAGATATATGACTGCATTAAGCAGTAGACTGGTGTATTAACAGCAGTAAATATGGAGCAGCAGAAATGGCTGGCATGTAGGGCTTCCTCTGATTAATATTTGTAACAAACTAATCAGAGTATTGCAGACCTTTCCAACTCTACTTCTTGCAATGCTCTGAGAGTTTCCTTTCCTCTTTCAGAGTGGCATATGTGGATACTGGTCTTACCACAGTCAAGTTAAAAGCTGAAGACTCATGTGGTCGACAGCATGTCATCACACTGAAGTTCAATGCAAAGGTAAATTTGTGTGGGAGAAAATATCTTCAGGTTTCCTTCAAATAAACATATTTTTCTTAATTCATAAGGATTTTAGAGAGTTGGTTTGTTTGATAGTTGTGCCTGTTCTGCAAGGTGAAATTTTTTTATGGAGAGTTTTCAGACTTTAACCATATTTAAAATTAATATTGCATTGTGATTATCTGTAAGGTGCAACTGTGCATCGCATGAAAAACACTTTATGGTCTTGCATTTTTCTGGATTACAGACAAAGCCAGCTGGGAGACTTTCTTTCATTATTACTCCATCCAGAGACTGCAAAGCACAAGAATTAGAGGCTGTTGGGTTGCCTTTAACAGGTCTTACTGTTAAAGCTATAGATGTAAATATTTTGTGAAAAACTGACTACAGAAGTCAGAAAAATGATTTATTTTTAGTCTAAATAATTGTCTAATTTTGTCAGTACTTGCAAAGCAAATCTTTGGTTTATGCAGAAGCAGAAACATTTTAGTTCTTCCTGGTACTTAGCACTGAACTCAAATTGCAACGTTTCTTCATAGAATGTCTCATTTCAAGACATAAATCTCTCAAGACTAGGAACATCCAGGCTGTGTGGTGACAATTGCAGGGTAATGGCTGTTGTCTTTAGAAAATCAGTCCAGGGAAAAAAGTGGATCCAAGAGTGTCTAAACATTGTTGTTTGGTGCTATCCTTGGTCCATCATCTGGACTAATAATCTTGGAGGCATGAGGAGTGGGCATGGTATTGTAAGATGAAATCCCACCTTCACAGGCATCATATATTCCTTTAAATACCAGGAGTGTTTTTGTCTTATGTACGTTGAGCTAATTTTACCTGAGAGGGGAAAGAAGAGCCTATGGAAAAAGTACTGTTTGGGAATTGAGGGTTGCTCAAGTGGATTTTAAAAAAGAATAAAACTATCCTACATGTGCAGGGTAATGAGTGCATAATTAATTTGCTAGTCAGTCTGCTATTAAATACACTGGTGGAAAAAAAAATGCATCAGGAAGCACAATTATGGTCTATTTAGTGTGCAAGGAACCAGTCTGGGTTGTTTATAAGGGAGCTGCTCTCCCATACTCTGTGTGACACTAGAAATTAGGTGCAGCCCTGGTGCCCCTAAGGTTTTCTTGCCTTTATGACAACAGAAGTATGTGAGCTACTTGGAAGTATAAAAGTGCAGAAAAAAAAATAATGTAATAGCCTTTTTTGCCAAGCAGCTGCCATGGTCAAAGATTGACACTTGTGCATTAGCTGGTTCTGTTTAGCCTTAATTTATCACAGTCCTGAAAAGAAATGGAGATTCCCATTTTCTGTCCCTGTGAAAACTTGTGTTTATAGTAATGAAATAGCTGAAGTTGAGACTCCTAATGGTAGAAGAAAGCACCGTCTAACCACTAAGTGTAATAAAAAGACCAGATTATCCAAGTTGTCTGTTTAAACAAGTAATCATCCTTTTTTTTGTTTTGTTGGGGTTTTTTGTTTGGGTTTTGTTTGTTTGTTTGTTTTCAAGTGTTTGTTATGATGAAGGATCAATTGCTTGTCCTTTTTAAGCTGTATCTGGCATTTAAACTTCCCACAAGAGAAAATGTGTGTGTGAAAAGTGGTTTTGGTGACATGGGGATTTGGTTTTCCTTCATACCCATATCTAATGCATTTGAAAAGACTTTGCTGAAGTATTTTTGAAGATATTTCTTTTGATAACCTGCTTTAATGAGACTATGGTTATTTTTGTTAGGCTGTTCCTTTGATTAATTTTGTGTATTTAATGCAGCTTTGCTATTTGATATATTTTAATTAGGAGTTTGGATTGTTTTAATTTTGAGCGTGTGTGCAATCATCTCTTTCTAAATGGCTATGCACTTACTCAGATTACTTTCAGTTTCAAAAAACAAAATGTTGCCAATCAGAGGAAATAGTTCAGTTTAAAGGAAAATTAGTTATTGACTCATGAAAGGATTCTTTAGGTGTTCTTAAACTTTTCTGTCCAGTATGGATAATTGAGATTTTTTTTACAAATTTGGTTTTTTTTTTGTCTTAAGATATTTTGAATATGTCTTTGTGACCACTGAACACAGAAAACTGTGATTCACCTGCCCTTACTAAAAACCAATGTGTAAAAATATCTGCATGTAATTCCTTCTTTAAATGATAAGTAACATTCACAACTACTTCTGAAAATGCTTTACATGCTCTTTTCCTCTCAGAGCTAAGTTCTCAAGATGTTTGAAGTGCGCGTATTTTGTTATCAAATTTGGCTGCTGAGTATCTGACTTTCAATCACTAAGGGAAAAAAAAAGAAAAGAAAACCTGTATTTCCTTTCCCTCCCTCAGTATCCAACAGAATCACCAGATTGCCTTGTGGATTTTCCTGTTGAGTTTGCCATTTCCTGGATGCCACAGGTAACTGCTGGACTCTGCAGCTTTGTTTTAATAATTGAGATACATATGCAATGGTAGGTGGTAGCAAGGGGTTGGGCTGTATTTTTTATCTCCAGCTTTTTTCCTTGTGTGCATTTTACTTCTACACATGCTCATGGAAATGTAATAATGCTGAATTCTATATTCCTTATCAATGGAATTCTGATTTCTTAGCTTAACTGATATTGTTATTGTAAAGAACCAAGAGCCATTGTCTTTCTTAGTCTCTCACATTATCTCATGTACCATTTTTCCTTCATAGAGCATATGTATTTTGTAAAATGAATTTAAATGTGACCTCTTAGATGTAAGTTAATTTGAATTATCGTTAGAAAATAGTTGATGTTTAATTTCATTTCATTCAGGAAAATAGATTTTACATAAGTGATTGCATCTTTTCTAACTCTCACAAGGATTTTTACCCAGCAATAAAGCCTGTCTTTGGGTACTACATTTACATAGGGAATGTGGCTGGAAGGTTGCAGCAGGATGATTTTAATCAGGGTGTAGAATTTTGACTGCGAAGCTCCAGGTTCTCTCTGTCACCTCAGACCCTCTAATACTGAGAGCTGAGGAAATAACTGCAGGAATTGAACATTGCAAATGAGAAGTGTGTTTAGTTTTACAAGCTTTGATTCTCTGGTATGGTTTGGAACAGCTTAAATAGATGTTGGTTTTCCCTTAAATTATACTGCAGTCCATATAGTCTGGGCAGGATTTCAAGTGCTGTTTCTAACCTCAAACTTTGTACATACTTTTAACAATATTTTATTAATTTTACAGCCCTGCAACTTATGTTGCCTCAAATTAACAACATTTCAAATATCCCTGACAGTCATTGCTTCTCTGTGTTTACTGTTAGTAAGTTTAAAGCTACTGCTGGACTTGTAATTTAATAAACTGTTCTTGAAAAAAAACATGATGTGAAGCAGCCTCTGACAAGTTAAAAACGGAGGTGGATATATTAATATTGGCACTGCAACCGAGGAAAAATCCAGTGATAAAAGCACAACATTCTGATGCTTAAGATCTTCTTGCAGTTAGAATTACCTGGGGACTGTTTGAAAACATGAGCCATAGATGTTTGTCTGCAACTGAAGACAGTTTTGAAATCATGAGATACTAATTCCAGCTGCAGAGAGCACGCTCTAATCCTGAACCAAACACCAGCAACCCGTGTGCTGTGCTCATGGAAGTGCTTTAGCTGTGCACTAGGTTTTGAAAATTGACCTTGCCTATGTGGGTGACATGAACCAACACTTGTGGGAACAAATGGCTGTAGTAATTGTGTAAATTGTGTTTATTTTCCAAATGTGTGGCAGTGATTGCAGCGAGCAGCCTTCATGCCGTGATAAAATACGGGTTGAGCCTAGATAATGCTGCAACACCACTGCTAGCAGAATGCAGCAGGTACTCAAGTGGTTGAATATTTTGGTTCCTAAAAGGCAAAAAGAGCACTCTGTACCTGTTCTCTTAGAACAGGTACAGTAGAATAACGTGATGTTTTGATTCTGGTAAGTCTTTAATATTTGTTGGTAATATTTAATATATAGACTATAAAAACATAATGTATAAATGGTGTATAGGCAATAAGGGTGAACTTGGGAAAATGTTCAAATTGGAATAAAGTGAAAAAAGAAGGAAGGAATTGGCAAGAGGAGCTACCAGGGATGAGGTGGAGATGAGAGCACAGAGGACAGACTCAACTAAAAAGATGCAATTGCACCATTAGAATATAAACTCCTGTGAAAGAAAATACAAATAGATTTCAGGTAACTGATTTTTCTTTCCCACCCCCTGTGTGTGCAGTTGCCTATTTTAGGCTCATGGACTTTAAACTTGAGGGGTTGTTGGGCTGCTAGGTTTTTTTCCTTTTTTTTTTTTTTTCCCCTTTCCATATAATAATAGACATGGCTTTATGGCATCCATATTAAAAATGGGTAATTTTCCTTATGGTCCCTGTCTTCCTGCTGGGTTGATAATGTTTTGATGTATTTTTCTTTTGCTCTGATGAGAGGTCTGCTGCTGCTGCTCTGACATATTCATTTGGATGAATAATTATAACTTGCACAATGTCAAGCTGAAGATGGTGGGGTTTTGTGCGTCATGACAAGCCTAGTAGCCAGTGCAGGTGTCTCACAGCATGAGCAGCAACAGCCAGTGTATTCTGGCTCAGAGGAGACATTTTAGAGTAGTAAGAAATCAGCACCAAGGGCAATGCTGCTGCTGCTGCTCCTGCTCTAAGTGCCAAATAAATGCAGAGTGCTTCTCAATGACAAGTGCAAGAACATCTACTTATGTCTGGTGTATCCTTTTTCTAAATAACCAGATAAATGTGCTGTCTCCAGTTTTAGCACACACTGTAAGTGTGGTTCTGCAGGCTCAGGGTGTCTCCATCCTGCTGCCCTCACATCAGGGTATGGCTTCTATACTGACCACTGCCCACCTGGTTGGCTACATGAAGGTCATGAGAGTGGAAATTAATGACTAATGAGGTTGTGCAGCAGCGAGCAAGGAAACAGTAGTACAAGGGTCAGGAGGCATAGTGGTATGAATGAGATTATTCTTTGGTTATTTTGATGAAAACACAATAAAAAGCATCACAATTGTGCTTTTTCTTGGCAGAGGAGTTTCACAGGCACCAGCTGTAAATACAAATACTGGAGATGGTTGACAAGACACTTTATAAAGATTTCAGAGTGTTGTGTTGGTTTCATTTGTGCCAAGGAGGAGGGAAATTGTTAAACTGCCGTTGACGGGGAACAGTTTCCAAACAAATCTAAAGAATTAAATTATTTGGTCATACAGGTGAACATGCTTCCATTCAACAACTGTTCATTTTGCTCAATTGTATTTTATTTATGAATTCATGAAGGGCAAGCAGGTGATATCACCTATGGTTTAGGCTACTTCACCTTTTTCACTTGGGAGCTTTGCAGTTGTTTTAATTTTGGATAAGTAAATTTTGTATTAGAAAGGATTTTAGCCAAAATAAATCTCAGAATAAAGAGCATGTTTTTATCTTTCTTTGAAAATAATTTGTAATCAGCTGTGCTGTATTTACCTTAATTAGAACTACCTTACTACCATTTGATTTAGTACTTAGTTCATCCAGGATTTGGAGCAGGTGCTTGAAATTTGGCAGAACAGCCATATGGGCTATAGCACTTCTTATAAGTTCCTGAGAGGCTTTGTGGGTTTTATGGCAGGCACAGACTCAAGGCTTTCTCTTTATTCTCAGCCTCTGTGGCTCTAGAAATAGGAACCAAGAGTAGAGTGATGAGGTGGAGATGAGAGTGCAGAGGAGAAAAATGGAAACAAAAATGTTGCAGAATTACCTGAGACTTTACTGGCAGGAGAAGAGTATTCTCCTCAGACAGGTAGGTCCAGAGCATCTGATTGTCCCTGGCCAAAGTGCTTCATGTCCTACCAGTGGCTGAAATGGATGGGAGATACATAGAGTCTGATAACACAGAGGTAACAGTTTGCTGCAGGATCATCATGTTCATGGAGGATCCAGTTTGGTTTGGGAGTGCTTTTAGAGTCAGGGTGAGCAGCATTGATAGCCTGAACTATGAGTGTCTTATTTTTCAAAGAATTTTGGCATATTTCATGCAAATTCTAACACATTGTTCAAAGGGGACCATGAAACAAAAGAGTTTGTGCTGCTTGACATTATTAGTGATGATCTTGGTGTAGTTTAGACCAAAGAAATGCACAATTGAAGGCTGTTCTAGAAGTGTTGGGCAATGACCAAAAATGAGTTTGTTAATCAAATAGGGAGGAATGTTAGGGTTTTCCTGGTTTGCATGACAAGCAGGTGATGTATTTAAATAGCTATAGATGCATTTATGTATATAGCAGGAGGCAGCTGGCAACATCAATGAAGCATGCAAATAAGATCAAATGAACAGTGTATATAAAAAAAAGAGATTTAACTACCTTTTTAAGGAACATCATTGAAAAATTACAATTAGTATTAAAATTAATTGGATTTTAAAACTTATCTGTGGGTTATAATCCCTTGATGTTTCTTTTTTCTAGTGAAACCCTTTGAATTCCCAGAAGATAAAGATAAAAATGATTATTAGAGGATTTATCTGTATGTGATATAGAAAAATGTAAAAAATCAAAATGGAAAGCAACTGTTGCAAGTACCAGAAAATTATGCTATTAATTTAAGTGTCATCAGAGCACAAAAGATCACATTTCAGGACTGTGTGAAAATTATTAAAATACTGGAAATAATAGTACTTAAGATGAAGATACAATACTCTAAGATGTGGTTAAGTGACTGACACTATTATATCACTTCAGGTATTATAAAAGTAACAAAATGCTTTTAAAGATAATAAGCGTTACATTTGGAGATTGGCAGTATTCACACTTTGCTGCTTAGGTGCTTTCCTACTTTCATATAATTTAATAACAGCAGGAAAAATGTAGCATTTGATTTCTAAGCTATGCTGTTTCTTTCTCAAATTTGTATGCACAAAATATAAAAAGCTATTACATAGGAAAATCCTATTTCTTCATCTCAGAACATTCAGACAATTTGCTGCTTTTTGTCCAGGTGAGAAAGAACATAATCACTACAGATTAAAAGAAACTGTTCCCTCTGTGTTTTGGGTTATTTATAGAAAAATACCTCTCTGAGAACAGAACATTTAATTTGCCTTTTCCTTTGCCCCCAAGATCTCTGAAATCTTGGCCCTCTCTAGGCATCTGTACCTGGAAAGGGCTTCATGTGACCACCAAGTGTTTTCTCCACTTTCCCTGTAGCAATAGTTCTTTTTTGCCCACTGATGATTTAAAAAGATTTCTTTTGCATTGCTGTCCTGTATGTTGTCCTGTATAATGAAAGATTTTTCTGATTCCATGTAATCCACTCTCAAATATTGAAATCCCCCAAGTGTAATCCTCTGATTATTAGATGGTTTCTCCTTCTCTTGCTGTATTTACACAGTTTGAAATCTGATGTTAAGCACCTGTTTTTATACTGCTTAATTCTGAGATAATTATGATGATGTTAGGTGATATTTCTTGGAGTCTCTCAAAAACAAACAATCTGCTTTAGTGATGTAAGTTATTTCTGTGTGTGTTTGATTACACTGTTACGGTGCTTGGCTGAAGTAGAGAGAATATCAGAATATCAAAGTTAATACAATACTTGAATTTTACAGCAGTTTTTAAAAGCTGCAATGTAAATGAATAGCTGTTACCATTTTTCTGAAAAGGAGTATAAACCACTATCAAATCCTGGTACAATGTGTGTATAGCACACATTAGAACTACCAGGAGTAAAGTGCTTGTTTGTGCTCAGGGTACAGCTTTCCTTGTGTTGTTTCAGTTATAAACCCTGTGAGGTTCCATGTTTTATGCTCCCACCATACAGTGGGGGACACACATGGATTTCAACGCTCATGAAATGACCTACAGTTTGTTTTTTAAATATTCTCTCAACATATGAACTATATGAAATTCTGTTTTCTTTTCTTAGAACTCCTTACTAGACATTTACAATCAGTTTCTGGCAGCATTGGAGTCACTGAAAGAATTCTGGGATGCCCTGGATGAAATTGATGAGAAGACATGGGTGCTTGAGCCAGAAAATCCCACCCGGAGTGCCACAAGAAGAAGGATTGCTATAGGTAGGAAAAGGTTTGGAGTGGTACAGTGAATTTTAAAAGTAAAACTCAGGATGCGGTTTTGCTTTGCTTATCTCATCAGACGGTACTTGTTTGAGTTTGGAAAGGGAAAGGCAGCACTTAAAACCAAAGGCACAGCTTTTATGTCATAGAATCAACCGGGTTGGAAAAGACCTCAAATATCATCAAGTCCAACCCTACCATGGTTACCAGACCATGGCACTAAGTGCCACATCCAGTCTCATCTTGAAAACCTCCAGGGATGGTGAATCCACCACCTCCCCGGGCAGCACATTCCAACGCCTGATCACTCTCTCTCTAAAAAATCTCTTCCTAACATCCAGCCTAAACCTCCCCTGGCAGAGCTTGAGTCTGTGCCCTCTTGCCCTGCTGCTGGATGCCTGGGAGAAGAGACCAACCCCCACCTGACTACAACCTCCTTTCAGGGAGTTGTAGAAGGCGATAACGTCTCCCCTGAGCCTCCTCTTCTCCAGGCTAAACAATCCCAGCTTGCTCAGCCTCTCCTCATGGCACTTGTGCTCGAGTC